AATGCCCGCTTGCAACACTGTAATTTGAACCAGGGACCTTTGATATGTCAATTGATGTATTGAATGACTACGTGGAAGCCAGTTAGAAACATTCGTAAGCGCCACGCTTTAGCTTGATAGATTGACGACATTTTCACTCGCGTGACACCATTATCTGCTGCTTCGATGTCTAAATGGGACTCGTAGAGATTACAAGTCGCACTAACATCTGTTTGTCTCGCTACATTCTCATTTGACAGATGGATCTTATTGCATTTCTTCTTGTGTGACACCGTGACTTTTGCGAATTGCAACATGAGCTTAATTTATCCCATCTACCAGGGTCTCTATACGCAACCTTGTACTGCTGCCGCCTTCAGGTAAGCGCACTGAGATGCAGACAAGTCATCAAAGTTGATTCCGGAACAGCGACAACACGAAGTGACATCCCAATCGAAATGTTTGTGTACAGGTGACATTCTAGACACTGATGAATTAGTGGAAATATGCCAAGTGTCAGAACGAATGACCAGGGAAAATAACTAGTAACACACGACGGACTGCCAGAATCGGTTATGCCGGTTCTGGTTTACCTTCCGACATGGATTGTCTGCATTTAATATAGGAGATAGCATTCACAGCACATACCAACGATAAGTCATCACTGTTCCACTATGTTTCTACTTATTCGTTAAAGTATGCATAGATATAATTCCCGCTCTTTCACCGCGGACTTGAACTGAGCTGAGCTTATGAAAATCAGTGGAGTTTATCGCACCATTTTCCTGCTAAATTGTAAAGTTGCTTACTACATCTCCGTCATCTTTGTGTCATCCTTATTCTGTCGTACATGTAAGTTGCGTTTGGGTACAGTTTCACTCTAGAATGTTGAACTACTGACTTGGTGCAATGTAGTATATTTATTGCACTGGCCTAGAACGGATGAGTCACATCTAAACTACCTTTATAGGGCCTACCTAACTCGATGATATTTCGCGGTTATTTCACGTGTTGCCCACTATACTGTTATACTCATCATGTTCTATGATACGCTTGATAACTCCTCAAGTGGATTCCAGTTCGGTGACTTACCGGGCCGATGAGCTACGGCACCTTTACTCTTCGTATTATTATTCAGCCGCGATTCACCTCACTATGTAAGCTCCATGGTATTACTCACCAGACTATGCTATCTACATTCTGCTCGTTGAAATCGATTTGTAGGTTACATGAACCTAGGATGACCGGCGGCCCAATGCTAACTAACACGACGCTTTGCGAGTAGATGTATCGCTGGATAAAGCTGCAGTCTATCCATGTGATCATACGTATTTGACGTACGCGCTGAGTTTCCGGGCGAACTGTGCTGCTGATACGGATCAATGCTAGGATGGCAAATTATTGAGTATGTATCCAGTTCGGTAGATACTTGTGAACCCAAGGGTTACCAGCGCTTGGTCGCTCACAGTATGCATAAAGTGTAAAGTATGACGTCTGGAGCACACAATGTTCAACGATTGTCCCTCGTGTGACCACGAAGACAATTTACCTGGGAAAATCCGTGGCAATTCAACAAGCCCGCCAAAGAAAAATGCGAGTGAGCATAGCTTTGTTTCCCGTTGTTCATCAACCATACTGAATGTACCGGGACTTATGAACACGGAAGTACCAAGACGATTGAAAGCGGAAACGCAGAGACGCTTACCAGAAGTTGAATTTCACACGGCCAGTCTTCTGGGTAAACGAAAAACAAAGTAATGCTGGCCGTAATGGTAGGTCAGTGTCTTAGTATATTACATCGGAAATGAATTGGCGCATAGCGACAATTGTTTTAGGAGCACTGCATGGCTGCACCCGAAACGTATGATGGAGGTCGTTACCAAATAGCTTATGGCCACAACAGAGTACACAGCTATATGTACAAACGGTTGAGTACTTGGATGACAGCTGTGTTACGTCTAGGACATTTGCAAAACAGTGCGCACACGGTTTAGAAAGCCGCATGTTTGACAGTGAGCAGCTGGACTTAGTTGATGTAGAATGGCGGTAGTTGTCTTTCCAATGAGGCCGTAAGCGGCGAATATGTGATATTGACACCTGTCAATGTTTAAGGTTGCGCAACAATCGTACCTCGGGCAGCAGATGATCAGACCGATCGGAGACACGGAGTGATTGAAATGAACACTCAATCGCATTCACACGCTGGGCGATCTCCCACATCAGGTACGCAAACCAGATTGTGCATATAGGAGGCAAGACCTAAGGACACACTATTTTACTGCACCACTTTTTTTATTAATCCTTCTACTTTGTAACCGTATTGGTGGCAATTGCGTCCCTATTTCTATATCGATTTCGGTGAAATATTGATGCCCAAGATTTAAGGCTCTTGTGGCTAAATTTTAAAGAAAACACCAACAGTTCGTCTTGGATACTTATTCTCATGCCTGTGCAGTTGGTTGTTAGCCTGACCTCCAAACGAAACCCATACACGTTGTTAGTACTATTGTTCATGAGGTCTAATGAATCTCTATCCAGCTTTTGGCCGTTCATACTTAATTCTGGACAAGCGCATGTGCATAAGTTGCATTCGAACTGGCTTTAGATACGGATGACCCCAATGTATGTATATATGCATATCGAATGAATTCGACCAGGATAGTCTATCGCTTTTGTACGGTCAAGTTAGTGCAAGAATGCGGCAAAGAAGGACCAACCGAAAAGAACTTTACCAGAGGATAAAGAAGGTGAGTTTATGACAAACTAATTTTGATTTCACGTGTTGCGAATCCAAGGCAAAGTTGATGGGTGCAAATCCCGTGGGCTGATCAAAAGGGCGGTTTCCCAAGTGCAGGAGAAAGGACTATTGCACGCGGAATAGAAGCATCATGCGTACGCTGTCATTCGATTTACTAATCCAGGCCAATAAGTCGGCGTATGTGATACTTTCGCCTGCGTGATGGGTATTCTTGCATTTCAGAAGTAGATGTTGTTTGAGCTCCTCGCCGTGGCTGCGCCTGATGTGAAGGTTGACAAGGTACCTACCGGTCTGATACCATCCACCGCGATTGCTGGCTCCAGGTAACAGTTGGTCGTTGCTGGAAGGGACGAGGTGCACCGTCCTCATGACGGTGCTAGGCTCAAAGAGTGGTTCCATCCTGTGTGGAACGGGCTACGGTCCAGCCACCGCCATGTGTACGTCTGTGTACCTGCTTCCTCATTAGGCCAGAATGCTTCTGTTCTGCTTGTTGAAGGGGTTTGGGACGGATCCGTTGAGGAAACCTGGTTCCCATCCACATGAATCCCGGTCTTATTCCTTCGGGCTTACGCTGGATATATGGTGTGTGGTTGGAGCTGTGGGTGGTTCAGCGTAAGCCAATCATGGTCCCTCTGTAGGCGCAGACGTCCTGTGTCTGTCGCCGTGGAGACCACAGTGACAGAAAAACCCGGACCCGTAGGCCGCCATACCATATATATATATATATATATATATATATATATATATATATATATATATATATATATATATATATATATATATATATATATATATATATATATATATATATATATATATATATAAAGGAGCACGACTTATTACCGCGTGACCTGACAACCTGGAGAAATGCTAGGCGCTGCGTATTCATAAACGGAAAAATAGTGAATACATGGTCGGAGACCGATTCCTGCATATGATCTCACATGAATGTGGAACTGGGACAGTAGTTCATAGTCACCTCGACTGGATGAAGCATTCAGTGGATGCTGAAAACTTGGTACCGGAAGGTCGGTCTCTTGCAGGATATGATCAGGAGGTTTGACCTACGCATCTTCCAACGTGGTCTGTCACATTGTATCTTCTGTTGATGAACACACGCTGTGTCTCGTACTGTAGGTAGATTGAGGCAACATCAAGGTGTTTTTTAACGCAGATACTATGGGGCAGGGACAAGGTAATTTGGGTGGGGGGGGGCGTTCCACGGCTGGCTGACTCGAAGAAGATAACCGTCTTAGCGACATTGTAACCGACATTATTATGCAGCCAGATTGGACTGGTGGCCCTTCAAATTTTGTTGCAACTGAGTTGTGCTAGGTGACGGCAGGAGTGATCAGGGTTTTCCAGAATTTATTAGAACATTATTAGCTCGCCATTTAGAAAAAGACACTGACCGCCGTGTAATGCTCGCGTCCTCAGACTAAGTTGTTTTGGAAGGCGGAACAATCCCTTGTTGTGCTTGATGCCTCTTCTCTGTGGAGTTTCGAGCGCAACGAGGTTTTTTCTTCTTCCAGAGCTGTCAGACCTGGATCTTGTACGTCACCTGAGGCCGCACGCATGTGCTAAGCAGCTGCGGACAGAGAGATCCTCAATCGGCGCTTGCGATTTCAGGGTAATTACCTCCCTAGGCCTCACAGTCCAGGTCTAGGCACGAGTTTGCTGCACTCAAGAACTTCACACCACCCACCTCCCATTCCAAAAACCTGAGCAAAGTACTAGTTTACCTGACATAGTATTTGCGTCCATGTAGTGGCTTTATATTTCCTTACCACGTGCCGAAAACCCCCACTATGTTTGCTTCCACATCCTGCAACGTAATCCCAATGAGACCTTTGGGGTCATCAGCTAAAGTTGCCAGGGCAAGCTAGCTACTTGGAATGGTACAGAGATTTCCTAATTCCAAGTTTGTCAAGCGTGGAACGCTGTTTTTACTTAGGTCAGCTGTACAACCGCATTATCTATATTTAAGAATGACTCCATGATAAGCTAACCTATTTAATCTACATGGTTTAACTCGTATCCATTTGGAAATAGATGAACACAAATAAAGGCACTTCCATACAATTGTGACTAGTGTATTTACAGTTGTGCATAGGTACATACCATGGTGAACGCACCCATGGAGCGGTTTGTTTTGTTATAAATGTTAATCGCTGCTTTTCCCTTGCTTACTTGGATTGTTCGGTTGAATCATTCAAGCTTTTGAAATTCTTGCTGGTAATTAACCAATCCTCGGTTGTTACAGCCAGCCTCCCTGAAACCGGATAAATGGTTAGTTCAGTGGGAGAACACCGTTTATTCTTCACACGAGCCGGACAGACCAGGAGTACAGCTGATGGCCGACGATGGCTTCCTGTACACCGGGGGTTGGTTCCACGGGGCTGTGCGCATTCACCGGGTACGCTTGCCCAATTCCGACGGCCTTCCGAATTGGGACGGTTTTCTCACCACACCCACAAGCTCTGATTACATCCGAGGTATAGTATACAGGTTCAGTAGTAATGCCTCATTTCCTACTGCTTTTGTTTTCTATAGTTGCAGGGTCAGGTCAACTAGATTGCCAGCGACTTTAGGTATGCCTTTGGTTGAGTTTTCTTTCTCGCGTAATAGGTCCCTTGGTATGAAGTATGTAACCCGATAATGACGCTGTTTTACAATATCTAATAACGCTCCACGATGTAGTTCGTCCTCATTTTGGAGCTTGAGAAGTGGTTGTTGGGCTACAGCTCCTATTGGGTACCTTGTGTAGATGGCAGACGCTAACTTCGATTATTCTGCTCTAGAAATAGGGGTCAACGTTATATAGATTGCTTGTTATAAGACTGAACTGCGATCAGGCGGGTTCGCTTGGGTTGATTATTGTCCGAAATTTGCGGTCAGAGTGTTTACTAACAGTGTGTGTATCCAGCTTAGTAACAATGTGCTTTGTGTGTATTATTTTCATCCCGGACGATCAGCCGATCGATAAGGGATTGTCCATAAATTTGAAGCTGGAAGACGTCGGTAGATAAATCTGTTCTTCCTATGGAGATAAACTCTGGACAGTACCATAATCGACTGATTAACGGAATGATGTTCAAACAAAAGTTATCACAACTAGACTCACTAAGACAGCCACTACCATCCGCTAAGACTAGGAGTATGTCTACTTTTCACAAGGAAACGAACTGGTCTTCAAACACTATTCGGATATCGACGAGTTAATTTGTTGAAGCATGAATGGTTGTTTATTGTGCATAAGGAAGCCTGTGATGGGCAACTTTGCTTGGTTCTCTACTGAATGTTTCACGTATGTGTCAGTACGAAACAAATGCTAAATTTGCAGGAAGAAGCTCCCGCCTCCCTTAATTTGTATTTGAGCTTTGACTTCGGCTGTCCACCGTGTTTCATAAAACCGGCAGGTGGCAGCTGATGTAGGGAAGACGTTTCTACGGAAATCAAAGTGGGATAATTCCATGTGATGAGGTGCAGACAACAGAGCGCCTCGTTCGTCCACATTCGACCTGACTGGTGGGGGCGATGAAACCGCTGTTTCGAGCGGCGCTCGAAGCTTGGCGTACAAGAACAGAGGAACAATTTCCAAAGCACTCTGATCGGCTACACTGCCTTGAATCAGCTACTACCCCCTAGCTTGGTGTTACTGCTGAGCCTTAGCAAACTGTGTTATGCATGAGTTCGCTTATGCACGAAAAGTGGAGTCATTGGTAGGCTAGTTCGTAACCGGTGATGCCCGCCCACTGTGCATCCTAAAGTAATTTAGCTTTCCTATTATACAAGATGCAGCCCTTCTGTTTAGTGCGAAGCTTAGTTAGCTCCAGAGCATTAAGCTCATGCGTTCACCAAGCCTACCACGTATGGACTGATTTTTCGATGTGAGGAGGTAATTCAACCTTGACAATTTATTGTAAAATAACTTCAAAATTCCTCCTATTCATCTGTAATTTGAGTTAGATGGGGGATTATAAGTGTCTGAATGCCACTCTCAAGAGCCCGACGTGCTAGTTGCCAACATTCAATGTTTAATTTGATTGGAACAATTCTGTTCACCTTGACCTAAATGCTATATTCAAACTCGAAGCAGGAGATCCCACTTGATATTCGCTGAGTTTACAGCAATGCGTTCTCTGATGTCGTATGAAGAACACTGTACTTTCGCCTTGAACTGCAATAACTTGTGGGCCAACCACTGCTATGTTCTACCAATTCCCACTGAGTCAGCTGTAGATCATCATTTGTCAGTACCCTACTTCGTATCTCATTACCAGTAGCAAAAATGAAGCAGAACTATGCGATAATTAGAGTTCCTGCGATTTTTCTTGCACTAGCGGCCTGAACAAACACAATCACAAATGCAGCATCACATTAACAATTCCATTCAGCATAGCCACATACATTATGGTTGGCGGCATCTGGTTCCGGAGTTGTCTGTCACTGCAGCCTCCATGGGGCATCTACATTAATCCTGCGCCCTAGAAGGACTATAGGTGGCTTGTGTTACACCACCCACAGCCCCAACCACACACGCCATATCCAGTGTAAACCCGAAGGAATAAGACAGGGAAGAATGTGGATGGGAGCCATGTTTCATTAATGGGGCCGGCCCACTCCCCTTCAATATGCACAGCAGCAGCATTTCTTATTAGCTAAATTTGGAATCACACGTACCAGAGGTGCACAAGGTTATGGCTGGGCCGTAGTCCGCTCCACACTGGATGGAACCACATTTTGAGCCCAGCAATGTTACAAGGGACGTGCACTTCGTCCATTCCGGCAACCATTCACAGTCTCCTGGGTCAAGATACCAAAGGTGGAGGCTGATATACAAGTAGGCACCTTGTCAACATTCATGTCAAGCGCAGCCACACCGAGGATATGAAATAGCAAACACAATATGAAGGAAAATAAACACACAAACTGGATACAAATGTGCAACAGCATGAAAAAAGAGTGCAAATCAAATAAATGTGTATTAACCCTGATCCAACGTGATTGTGCTCTGGGCAACTATAACCGTCAGGGGATAGACACATTTTAATACGGCGAAACGCCAAAAATCAACAGGAAATAGGCGGACGATCAACAGAAATGAGCGAAGAAAAAATGATACAGGCAACTCTAGTGTGCTGCGGAGCAATCAACGTCCAATACCAGAAATGCAAGCGAAAAGCGCGGGCACATGTACAGACTAAATGCGGTCATGATGTGGCACACCCGCCACACCCACGGCGCTAATCGCCTGGCTAGGTAAGTGCAATTGAATCGGAAGCAACCTACTTACTAAGTGCTTCGCTGATGGTGAATACCTAATCATCTGACTCATTTTATCTTAGATGTTGGACCGGCGTGGACACGCTCGTGGCTTATCAGACAAGCACGGCTGAGGCCATCAAGACTCATGTAATACAGCACCGTGAACTGGAAATTGATAGACTATGCTCCATCGGCGCGTGTCGGTTTCGTAGCTGGCGATTCTTTTCCGCATGCAACAGTTCTTTCCTATACACATAGACAACCGCTCTCTTGATTTGCTCTAGCCATTCCCGACGACGCACTGACTTTGATTCTAAACAGCTAGAATCAAAGTTCGTTCATGACAAACCAAAATTGATCATTGCCTGGTGAAGTAATTTGGGTTTTCCCACGTGCCGCTTTCCTGCACTAAGTTGTCCATATAACAACTGTTTTGGTATGTGTGTCTAATCCATGCAGATGATATGCCCCAGCCACCTCAGGTGCCGCAGTAAAAACATGCAGTTCATTGCGTAGATGTCACTGCGGCGCTGCACATCCATGTGAGCAACTCGGTCACCCAGCCGTTGCGTAGAATAAGGCGCAGGTATTGTTGATGAAAGCATTTCCAATAACGATTGTCCTTCCAACATAACATCCAGGTTTCTCTGCCGCATAGAATCACGGACAGATCCATCGATTTGTATACCATTAGCTTCATGCCGATAGCCACCTGGTGATTGTTCCATCTCAGCTTCTCCAGTTTTCCGAGTGCAATAGCCACCTTCCGTACGCGGATGCGCAGCTCGCTCGTCAACTGGAAGTCATTCGAAAGTACGCGCCCCAGGTAGAAAAATGTAGAGGTGGTTTCCAAAACGTCGGCACCCATCTGGATTTGCGGCAGGCTCACGGACTCCATTAATGGTGGAGTCTTCTGTTGATGGTGAGCCGGAATTTGGTCGCTGTCGAAGTGAGAGCAGAAGTCATGTGCTGCAACTCATCCGCGCTGATTACAAACAACGCACATTTGTCAGTTAACAGTAACCTGCGGATGATTGTCTCACACACAGGTTCTCGGCCCGAAAAAACAGATGTTCAACAACGCACCATCAATACGGTGCTCCACACGGACAATGTAATCACAAGCAGCATCAAAAGCATCATACATCATCGCATGAAAATAAATACTAAAACAGCAACAGCTAAGACACGGCCGTGTTTTACACCAGAGACAATAGCTAAATTTTCCGAAGTTTGCCCACATACCGTTATGCAGGCCTTTTAGTAAACTTATGAACGAAACTTTAACAACGCCAGGCAAATTGTCTCGTGGTTCGCCGTGTTAAATACATTGGTGAAGTCATCAAACAGCGAGTAAAATGGCTAGTGTCACTCTCTCCATTTCTCCTGCATTTGATGATCTGTGAACACCATATCTATGGTGCTGCGGCCCGAACGGAATCCACATTGCTCTTCCGCTACGTTCGGTTCAAGGACCTGAGTGACGAGGCGGTTGACTTGGATTCTGGCCATCGATTTGCTTACACAACTCAACAAGTTTACGCCACGATAATTCGTGTAAAATTGCTTGCTCCCTTGTTCCCTTGTACAGTGGTATCACAAGGGCTTCCTTCAGCTCGGCCGGCATTTTCTCTTTAGGTCACATGCGTTCTAACAAATGGTGCAACACATGTATGTAGGCAGGTTCGCCGTGTTTCAACGCTTCTGGCGGCATCACGTTGCTGCGGCGTACTTACCGTTTCGCAGTTTAGGAAGTGCTCACTGCATCTCATCCAGAGTTGGTGTGTCGGCAAGACATCTTCATTTCTGGTTGTTGCATCGAAACTCACTCAGTCTCTGAACGGTTGCTTAAGACATAGTCGATGTGCTGTCGTAATATACACACTATATCTGCAGTTTGTGTACAGGTAACACCCGAAGTAGGATCCAGCAGCGTCCTCAACACATGCAAGATAAGTCCATACACTGCCTTCAAGTGGTGAAAGAATTCCTTGTGTTTACGTCGTTTAGGTTAGCATTCCATCTGTTTTGCCTTATCCGTCCATCATGCATTTTTAATGTCGGGCTGTCGGGCCAACCGCTGACCCATCTTGCGAAAGTGATTTTCCGTCTCGGATTCGGTATTGTTCCCCATAAGTGCAGCGAATGGTGCAACTTACTCCGACACCAAAGCGCCAGTGGTCGCACGGTTGTCATCAAACCAATTGGACCGCTACAGTTAGCACGCCCGATCTTTTCCTAGACTGCAGCCGTCACCGGTTGTTGGATGTGGTGCCACAGGTGGCTGACTGAAGCGGTGCAGTCGACATCACCAAGACGGATAGCCATCGCATTCGCCACGGCAGGCCAGCCATACATGGATTTACGAAAATATATGTACAATTTGGTCCGCACCAACTTGTGATCAGTGCCATATCCAACTGCACGTAGTACACATGTCATGCGCAGTTCACGTATGTCACGATGGCATACGACGACATAGTGGAGTAGGTGAGCGTAACCGTTCCACGAGTGCTTCCAAGTGGCAGTGTCACGCACTCAGTACATACAGGCGTTCGTGATCGTCAGGCCGTGATTGGCACACAGCGAGAGCAACTGTTCACCGTTTCCATTGATTGTGCTAATGCTATCCGACCCGATTACATCTGTGCACACCGCGGCATAACGCCCAGCTCGTGCAATTGAAATCACCCACTAGGAATAGCCGGTCGCTCTTCGGCACAGACCGCATCACTGAGGACAACTGAGTGTAAAATCGATCCTCTGTGTTATCCGGATCAAACGGGGTGGAACCATACGTGTTAATAAAAGTTAGAAACTTACAACTTCCGAGACGACGACAAAGAGTCATCAATCGTGGCTGATGCCGGTCGGCTCTCCTGCCATGTGGCCATTTGGGAGGTTAAATAATGCAAACCCGACCCCATGTTCACGTGGTTCTGTGGTGGTGTTTATCACCTAGGAGACGTGTGACCAACTCCGGCTCCACGTAGCTTACCTTACTCAGTGAGCCGAGTCTCACTGAATGCAATAGTGTCAATGTTATATCTCGCGAGTTCCATCAATACCAATGCAGTGCGTCGCTCGGGACGTTCATTCGTATTCCGCTCGAGCAGCGTTCGCCCTTTCCAGCACCCTTTGTCCAGCCCTTTGCGCAAGAACATACGATTGCGCCGGGAAGTCGCTGGTGTGGTGACCTAGATTTTAGGAAGTAGAGTTAATTGCAGTTGGTGATGGGGAGCAAACATGCAGGGGAAGAAGAAAGGAGTGAAGCGTCTACGGTGGCACGTTTTCCCTAACCCATCCCGCTGTATGTAGCAGAATAAGCAACTGTTTTGTCTCCCCCACCTCTGCGCGACGGCCAATGCAATACCTGATTATTAGTATTGGCGTACACCATGGTTTGTGTTTGCACTGATGTGTTTCCAGGGTGTCCACACATGAAGGAGAGAACGACTCGCGTCCTCAAGCAAAGAATTCGATGTAATATTCATCCGAATGGCAGTGGAAAAATGCGCCATATATCTGAGAACTGACTCACGCGAAAGTGTTTACTTGCTGTTAGCTTGAAGAAGGGTGGGTATCAGGCTTGCCCTGTGGAATATTGTACCAAGACTAGAATTGTCATAGTGAGGTGAATGGGAAGTTAACCCACACAATTTGATCTGCTTCACTAACCGATTCTGCTTTGGGTTTTTTGCTTTTGCATGTAAACAACTGTTATGCGTATAATGTGGTTGTCAGACCGTGTTGTTCCTCGTAAATGAAAGTAGTATGGACTTTATTTTTAAAGTTTCAACGCATCGCAATCTAACTTGGTGGCCCAGAGGGTCGCAAACCGGACCACAATTTGATCTACTGTATTTACCAAAAATTAATCTGCCCGCGGAGTAGTGACATGCCACTTAGTGTGAAAACGGTATCAGTGAATTCGCTAAGCAGCCACGCCTTCTAGGTCAAAATAAGATCCGATGCTGTTGCCGTTCGACGGGATCTAACCCCAACTATTTTTCTGCATGGTCTTGTTCACCGTTATACAACTAAGTACCCACCTCGGATATCAAAGTGTACCTAAGAGCTAAAGTGTTAGTTCTGAATTTGTGCGGACTTTTATGAAATCGACGTTTGAGCCTCCAGTTATTTGCTGCCAAGCGCTGCTCACCTCTAGAAGTAGGTCGGCTGGTTTCCTGTTGCGTAAATCCCTCCGCATTGTCAGCATCTTTTCAGTTCTATGTGTGGACCGAAACGTTACTCTATCAACTTTGAACAGCATTTGTAGTTGCTTGATAAGAACAAGCTGGAAGCAAGTTCTGAGGGCATCACATTTTAGGTTATGTACTTCATGAAGGGAAAACCCTCATCTCACGGAATTGTTTTCTTACAAAATCATGTAATGCCATGTGCAAAAATCGATGCACTGCCGGCCTGCATGCACCAGTAAGCTGTGCTATGTGTTTGTTGCTGGCTTTTGCCCCAGCGTATTTACTGTAATCTGGTTTCTCATCAGGTAGTTGCTTGTAGACGAGGTTCTGACAGCAGAACTGGCTCTACTCCACCCCTCAACTGCAAAGTTACCCCAGGAAGTTGTAGCTCACCGAAGTTCATCTAACAGGGTATCGCATTAGCTGGTTTGTATTATAAAGCCCTACACAGTGACATAAATGTCTACTTAGACGTATTATCAGTTATTCGTCGGTCCTGTCAGGGGCATACACAGCGTTGGCATACGTCTGCAGCTGTTACACATAACAGGTGTTGGTAAGCGTAACTCAAAGGCATAAAGGAACTTCAACTATACGACACAGTCTCACTTGAGAGCAGAGTGTACTGGGTGGTTCTGTGTACATCTGCATGCATTTACACAGTCTGTAATTGCTAGCTATTAGTTCACCGCTGCTTGTAGCGTGCAATTTACTAATGATGACCTAACTAACACACGCTTCGAAGTCATAATTACCGTTGCTAATTATCTGGGGAGAAAGCTAAACTAGCATTTGTATCAAAAGAAATTTACCTCTCAGCCATGTTGCTAAAACAATGCCCAATTTTCGTAGGACACAGCTTTGGTGATAGCTGGTGTTCTTTATGTTGGCAAGAAAAAAGCAATCTGGACATCACTGCGGCTTCCTTATGACAAGAAACGTTGTATGTTCTCTAAGTGCCGATTTTTGTAAAACCTTATTTGCAAGCACATTTCTACCCAATACAGCACTTCATGTGTCTGAAGTTGTACGACGTGTCCATATATAAGATGGTCACTCGATCACTGCAGTCGCTATCTGTTGTACGGCAGACGAGACTTACCAAAATATTGTCGCGCATGCTATTTATTCAACAGTTGAAATGCATCAAGTCGTTTACTGGTTTCATCAACTGATGTGTTCCTATTCTACTTATCTTTCGGGTTTAGGTTTTACTAATTTTGTCTCCCTAGAATTGCGGTTGTACACCATTCTTAGCTTACGGCCATTTATGGTGAGAAACCAGTTTCAGCGTCTCCACAAACCGCCTTTCGGTAGTTCAGGTTATTTTTCTAATCAACACATCGCCATCGTGCGCCCCATCCAGTTTCACAGAAGAAACGGTGCTTGGCATAAGTTATTTTATTTGCATAAAATTCCTATCCTGAATTGCATGTCCTAACCATTCTAAAGGTTCCCTAAGCGGTTGTACGGCATTTGAGGCCCTCTGTGAAGTAAGCGGGCAATTACGCCTATGTCCGAAAATTTAACATCGTGCCCTCATACTACTCAGTGAATGTCGATTTCGCCTGATCTATCTTTTATCGACAGAAGCAGCGGAGTTTGTTATGGCTTTCGAAACCTCAAAGGCGGTTTATTTTCTCCTCCGGGAACCTGTTCCACCTTCCTGCATACTGCGGCATTTGAACCGTCAAAGTCATCAGGAGCCATCAAAGAGTGGAGGGACTGAAGGTCGCAATTCACGGAACCAACAAACGACCTACAGAATGATGACACGTTTGGTGCGGGTGTGTAAGGGCGATCGGGGTGGATATCCCTATGTCAACGATGGCGAATTCGGCACCTTCGCGAAGGCAAACGTGGAATGCGCTACGGGTGAAAGACCACCGTATTCAAACATAGATGAAAACTACAGTGACCAAAGCATTGAGGAATTTTATTTCGAGCGAGCTGTAGCTGCGGAATGGGACCCGGTTGAAGGCAGATTGGTCGTTATATTTTCCACCAATAGGTGAGAATTTCTAAAATTGCATTTGACTGTCAGCCTAATATATATTTATTACAACGACTGCCTGGTAGATAAATTGATAGTGGACTTTGTACATTATAATTAGATTATATAATTATATAATATATATAATATATTATATAATTATATTATAATTATAATAATTAGTATAATGCATTCGGTGAACGATAGGAACCAGTTTAATGCATCGGTGGAGAGTTAAATTATTTGGTGTGCTGATCAACAGCAACAGGCTCCTGCAGTCTTTTACGGTATGCATGGAAATATCGATGCACATGCTTGTCTTAAAAGTGGTATAGAAAAGGTCATATTTCAACATTTGTTTGATGCCAATATAGAAGCTGCCGTAAACGGCCTTTTCCTGGTCCATAGGACACCTGTAAGTCACAGGGTTTTATCGGTCCCTGCACTTGTTGTCTTCAAGAGAGGAGAATTTCCCGTCCCAGATGACAAAGCGCTGATAAGAATAGTTGAGACACTTCGCCAGTACTGGATCTGGGAACTTATATATCAGGTCTTGATGATTCATAGAATTTACCTGTAACTAATAGGTCCGTCGCTGACGCACATCAGGTTTGTTATCACCACCAGTCTTTTGCGTCCACAGTGCGGTGTGGAATCATGTGCCTTAAACCTTCACTGTATCCAACTCATAAATTATGCTCCTTCAGACGTCAACACGGAAACAGCGAAGTAATTTCTTTTCCATAAATTTCATCAGACAATTATGATTATAAGATTCAAAATCACTGAAATAAGATCTCTTAGAGCGATGCGGCGATCTGTCATGTATGCTCCGATCGAAGGAACTGTGGCAATCAGTGTCAATGTAAACGCACCACCGTTGACCACTATGCCTGAAGGTAGTTGACCAAGCTAGGGTCACGGTTGGATTAATGTTTGCCCAGATATGCGCTCTGCACACAGTTCCGGCTTGAGTCACCTGCTCGCAATGGCTTCTGCAGTGGCCAGTGAGCGCTTTCTGAGTCCATTGTGGCAACGTTTAGATTGCACCTACACTACGCTGAAAGCATCTTTCATTCATATGGCATGTCCACTGTATATTAGGTGTCCTAGCGTATAGCTGTGGACATTCCCGGTGAAACCAGATTGTAATGAGACAGGAGTGCGTTCCGCTATCCGCTTTTATTATGAATCTCATAACTGTAGTTGCCTGCTGAGATTTGGCGTAAAGAAAATGCTTTGTAGTTTTCCTTTTGACATTGCTGTACGGTTTAAACCTAGCTTAGTTAGAGTAATCGCTTATATAGTGAAGACTAATAAAAGGGAACATGAGAAATTAAGATACTGGAGGTTGCTAAAGATGCCCAGCTGCAATAGGACAGGGTCTCCTGTGATTGATGTAGTTGACAAAATTAGACGAAGCATATGAATACGCGTGTCACCCGCACAGAACAGTGCACTCCAACCCCAGTTTCGCACTAGGTTGCACTCATTAGATCGAAGTAGCCACTTTGCGACTCAAGCTCGTAATTCCTTTGAAAGGGAATAGGCTGGCTATTTTGGACCTTATCATTACCTTTGAGGAACTTATGGGCGACACAGTTACGGTGAGTAGTCACTTGAGATGCAGCAATCATGCAACACTGCTTTACGGCTACGTCTGCTACGCTGAACAGTCCAACAGGGATGTGGAAGAGGTCCGCATAACACACATCCAACATTTTAACCGACCCAATCAGGACCACTAATTGGGCGTTTCTAGCGGAACAAACCGGTGATATCGCTTGCGGAAAGTCCGTCGAGCAGCTCGACAGCTTAGGAACAAATGCAGCAGAGACTAAGATCATTAGCACAAAAACCTAAATTTTCTCCTGAGCAGCAAGACGCAAAAACGAATGGCTCTGTGATCCATTTTGGAAAGCATACAAATCCGATCCAAAAGTCGGAAACTGATATGTTTACATCAACCAACTATTAGGAGAACAGCTATTAGACATTCATTTATTGTGAACGAGCTTGATAGCTATTCTTTACTCTTCCTATTTGCTATTTCTTGACTGTTGTTTACACGCTCTAATGGGTTAGCCCGATTGGTACATCCACGTCATGGTCAATGGACGCCCATCGTCATGTCCTTCTCAGCAGCGCCATTTGCAAGAACATATTCTATTGTTTTTTTCTTCTCGTCACTGTTCTACTTGGTTATGCTAAAAGAATATTTAATTGTCACACAATTATTGAACTAGCTTTCAACTTTTGGGTCTGCGTTCCTTATTTTCGTTTGTTTCGTGACTTTTGTTTAAACGTTTCATTTCGTCATTCTGATTGGCCAGTGCCTGTCACTGTAAAATGTTCGTTCGCTTTACGCTTGGAGTCCAATGATGCTATTTTTAAGGACATACGCGATTCGCTCTTGAGTTCACGGTTGCTTATTCGCAGTTGCATTTGACGTTTTTCCTTCTGTTGGTTGGCTCAAGTGTAGTTTAGTAGCTTCCCTTCATTTTGCCCTCAAAACTATATAAACAACTGTGGTTTCATGTATACAAGTCTCCTTCTGGCTCGTCTTGGACTTCTTCTTGCGGTCGTGGGGTGAAGGCGTCAGCGGCGACACAACATGAGCGAGATCAGTGTCATTCTTGCCTGTGAAGAGAAATTAAGACACCAAGAAGATTTTCCAAATATGCAGCTGCGATCCTAAGCTGCTTTACATACATGTCAACAAACTTTGTAAAATACAGCGCGGCATCCTGCCTCTAAGCATTGTCTGTGGGCAATTGTGAACCGTCTAGGAAGCAGTTATAACTCCTAGACATCAGTTTGCTTGCGCTTTCCAGTGCGCGTCACATCCTCGTATCCTTCTCCCGCATACCACATCAGCACCGGAACTAAAACATACCTCCCTCACTACCGCAGATGTGCTGAAGTGACTGATGTCACTACTCGAGTACAATTTACCTGGTTCAGATAAAATACGCCCTAAGTCCTTGCTGGTCACGACCATGAGCTTGGTTGAACCATTATTTCAGTAGTTCCCTCCCTGTCTAGACGAGATGTTGGTTCCAACCATTTGGAAGCGTGGAATAGTCACCTCAATTTACACGGGTGGCAATCGCGCTGTGTCCGCAAACTACAGCTCCATCACTCTTCTTCCTGTACTTGCTAAGTCCCTGTACTCTGTCGTTGCATATACGCTAAAGAGGTTTTTAGAAGTGCAATTATCATTGTGCCTGAGCAGTATAGATTCTTCGGCCTGAATCGCCTGGAAGCATCATGTCCACACAACCTATGGAACCATAACAATTCTTCACCCGCTCTCTTTGCTCTCACTCTCTGGAACTACTCTCCTCGGCCGAGGTCTTGGTAGTCGAACTTGCCAAAATGCCTTCTACTGCATCACGGTTTAATCCCTTTATTCTATCTTTGTTCAACCCCTATTCTTTGTCTTCGTTCCCCGTTTCTGAGTCCACAACATCGTGCCGCCTTGGGCAAAAGTTCGCGCTCCACGGACCAAGAGCTTAGGTCCGAGGCTGTACCAACTCGGTTGGCAAGCCATTTCTAGCCACCAGTTCCGGCTTCGAGCTGGCGATCTCCAATGGTCGGACGCTGATGTTGACTGGATCACAGCCAGCCCTTGCCCGAACGTTTGCGACTACGCCGGTTACTGTGCATTGCCACACCGAGACTCCTTTACTGGACTTTAGCACGACCCTACGACTGGTTTCACCAACGGCGAGTTCCACTGGCAGTTTCACATTACACTTATCTGGAGACTTAACTGTTGCAGCCGCTGCTCATGTTGGCGTGGGGATTGCGTTGACCACACTTGCTGAGACCGCGCTTCTAGACTGGATCCCGGTCAACAGTCGACTCTGTGCGATCCGACTTGAAACTTCAGTGTGAAAGTCCAGGCGCTGAGCCAGCAGGTCTTATTTGTTCATTGTCGCAGCGTACGTTCTCACAGACTGCAGTCTGGGGACAGTTAAGGACGAGGTTATTAGTCAACTGACCAAGCTTGTCCGTAAAAAGCGCCTCACCGACATCGTGGTGCTTGCCGGGGACCCGAAAGCACAGGACGGTAGATTTGATGTTGATGGACGTGAACTCAGTGGTCGACACGGTCATGGCACTCGCACAGGCAACGCTGATTGCCTAGTTCAGATTTAAGCTGATCACGGCCTCTTTCTGTCGAGCAACAGCTTTCAGGTATCCTGGCATCAACGTGCCACCTGCAGACTCCTATCAGCTACTCAGCCGTGGACACGAATTTAACACATCGCCACCTTGAAACACTGAGTTCTCTTCAGTCACTTCATTAACGCAGTAAGAAGACAGAGATTGTGATATGTTAACATTTCGATTGCTCTCGTCAGTCGCTACGCAATACATGCAGAAAAAACACGCAATATATAGGGTCCACACTTAGTAACCTAGATAAGCAGATACAAATGATGGGAATGACGTAATCAGGACCATGGCAATCTAATTGATTGCCTCAGTTGTTTCTGAGCACAGAGTACGGGACACTTCAACCTTATCAGTAGCGCCTCGCCAATTGCCAACCACGTCGGGTTCCAGTTGCGTGATAGCACCTTGAATGAATCGATTGAGTTCATCTGGTGACGAGTCCTCATGAAGTGTTTGGAGACAGACGAGGCTGGGCTCCGGTTCATTCTTTGATCACCTCCGCCTTGGTTTGACAGGAACTGCCTTAGCCACAATGGGAAGTGTTCCGCCACCATTTGAGCCAACCGGCGACCAGTCTTGCCTATGTAAGTGTCACCGCAACTGCAAGTGAACTGGTAGATGATGTTAGAGGCCGAATTGATTAGCGCGCTGCTCGAACGGATGTGGAGAGGAATCCTTCATCGCCATCTGTTATCGTAGTAGGGCTGCATACAGGAATGCAAAACGATCTGGAGTACCTATCTCACTTCGGATCACGTGTTGGTTTGTGCCATGGTCGCGCTTCGCTTGGTAGTTCACAGCAGCTTCGCCAGAAACGGTTTGACGTGCTAAGG